AAAGAAGAACCACTTGAGAAAGACGACAGTCTTCCATGCGTTGGAGAAGTAGAGAACAATTCTGATAATCAAGACATATCACCACCATCGGCAAAAATATCATTGTTCCATACTTCAACTGAATCAGAATTTACCAAGAAAAATACTGAGCCAAAAATAGCTACCTACAGCTCAAAAAAAGATCAAGTTGCAGAGAAAGGAAAACTCGATTGATGGAAACATCCTTCTGTGTATGAAGAAATGCTACAATCTAAAAGATTGATGCTCTTTTGCTATCTCCATCTCATCGATAAGCCTTTGTTTTATTTTGTAGCAAAAACATCGTGACTTGTTTTGATTTTGCGACTACTTGTGCATGGAAAAAACTCTTTTATGAAGTTACTAGATAATAGGAAGGATGTCTAACAAGCTGTGATAATACAGTAGCTTGTAAATCTGTTATGGAGTGTATGTTTTGTAATACTTTTGAATATATAAAACATCTTCCTTGGCTTTTAAATATGTCATCTATATATCATGTATTAATTCTTACTAAATTTTAGGTTGTATGGAGGCGGAGCAATGATTTTATTGAATTGCTAATTCATTAGGATGCTTAATTTTATCAAGATGAATGAGTTAGTGATTAATTTCAATTTTATCTTTTAAATTGAATTTTAATCACATATTAATATAGCACTTTATCATTTAAAACCAATTTTCAATACTCATTTTTAACAGATTTTCTTGCATTGATAACTTACGTTCACACTTTCACCTACTCACCCAACTACCCACCCAATTAAATTAGTAGAAAATCTTGAACCAATTCACTCTCAATGCAACATACCATTAACACTCCCAACAAAATTTATTCATCTTTTATTCATATCCTCTTCGTTCACCACAAAATTTTGCTTTGAACCTGCGGAGCTTGATATCTGTCAAAAATTCCTCCTGCTCGTGATTTCCTGTTATGCAAAGCGAAAAAGAGTTCATATTGATGCTAATGTGCGCTTTTTATCCTTTAGCCAATATGGTTACGTAGTAAACTTGTGATGGTAGATGAAAGAGTTATGTCATTAAATA